CCGGCCCCGCAGCCAGCTGGCCGGGCTCGGCGGTGGGAGCGCGAGCGCTTGCAGGAAAGGGCTCTCTGTACGCTTCCCCCTACGGATGCCGGGTCTCCTCTTCGCCTCTGGACACTGCCCAGCCCAGCAGCCGGGCAGCCACCGGGCGAGCAGACGGCAGGGTGGGCATGGGCGCAGGTGGGCGAGGACCTGCGAGGGGGCGAGGGCCCCCTCCTGCGCAGCGCAGGGGCGGGAGAGGCACCGTCCAGGGAGACGGCTGGGACCTCCAGCTGCAATTAGCGACGCCTCCGGCCAAGCCAGCTCAGCTAACGAGCGCACCGGGGAACGCGTACGTGCGGCAGGCAGGAGCGTGGCCGGGGGACCTGCTCCCACCCCTGGCACCCGGCACGGCACCCCCCCGGCGGGGCCCTTGCCTCTGTGCACCCGGAGACGGGGTCCCAGCCCATGCCCTGCCGGGGAGGTGCTGGGACAGGTGGGGCAGGCACCATCGGCACTCGATCACCGCGCTCGCACCACGGCTCTGCCCTAGGGACCCCAAGGGATGCTGGGGAAGGCGGCAAACTGGCACTGCGCTCGTTCACAGCAGGGCTTTTACGAAAGCCTGGTTAGGAAGGGAACAGCTCACTAAGGACAGACCCGATCTGAGGCCGGGGTCCTCCCTCCTCCAGGACAGACAGTAACTTTCCCATCGAGTTCCAGTGCCTTCGGGCTAAGCAAAGCAGGTGAAAAATCACCCACAGCATCCAAGCGTCCGACCACAGCACCGTCAGGCACAGGCCTCCGCACCGCTGCGATGCTTTCTCAAGGATGCCATCAATTCACAGGCAATATCTTATTGTCTTCTACTACCACAGCTGAGCAGGCAGTCCCTGCCATCGCTTCACCCTGTGATCCCTCTGGGCCTTTCTCATGCTGCATAGGAAACCTAAACGCAGAAAGGAAGTTTTAGTATCTACCTAACCCTGGAGAACCAAGTATCTCGCTGTCCACAGTCTTTAGGACAAGGCCCAAGAAGAGCCACAGTTATCAGGAAATGGAAGTCTGGATTTCCGCTTTGGCTTTTCTATGGGGTTTGTGTTGCTCGAGCTCTGCCTAGAAATGCACCCAAGTTTTTCCATGCATAGGTATAACCTTACAGCACTGTGTGTTAAGGGAGCGGAAGTCACTACCAAACGGATAAAAAAGAGGTGAGTGCCATGTGGAAGAGCATTCAGAAAGGTCTTTAACATGCTGTAACAATCTGAAGAGAAAGCTTACACCTAGCTGGGGGGCTCTCCAGTGAAATAGAAGTATTGCATCCCTCTGGACTGTTTCAGAGAGGTATTAAGGAAACAGAAATGGAGTATGTACACCGCATGCCTGAAATGAGCCTAGAGCTACTAAATGCCAGAGTGGCATTTCAAAGACACTGCCCTGTGAAGAGTGAATATCAGTGCTGCTCCTGCCCTCCTTTCCTCTGCTCCTCACTCCCACACACATGTACAGATGGGTTTATGTGCAGGCAGGAGACTGACGTACCTGCAAGAGGCTTTATTTAAAGGGCTTCAAGCACAAGCCCTGACTATTATACAGCTGGCTGCCCCAATCACTCAGGAAGAAAAAGCACTCCAACCATACATGAAAAAGTTCTCTCAAAAATAACAAGGCATTAAAATGCTTGAGCTCAGTTGCATTAAGGGAGGCTTGAGCATTTCTATTCCCCAGCCTAATAACATCTGTACTAAGGCCGGGGAGCCTCATGTCACCCAGTTTCTCCTTCTTTGCTCCCCATTAGTCCAGCAAGAGAAACCCACTTCCTCAATTCTGCACCCAGAAGGAGGCTCAGAGACATGGCCTCACCTTCCCCTGCCGCAGCACCTGTCCCTCACATGGGGCTTTGATGGCATCACCTCTGAGGAGAAGGTGGATGAGCGATTCTGGCAGCCAGGACAGGCACTCAGAGCTGCTTTTTCATGGGTGAAGGACCTGGATGGGGATGCAAAGGCCACATCCCTTGCAAGATGCCCCAGAAGCCACATGAGCTCATGAACGAGCTGTGTGTGGAAAGCCCAGCAGATACGTGAACATCTCCCTAATTTCACTGTGAAGCTGCAGTGCCCCTGGGCCACACTGCTGCCACCTGAGACCATTTTCGGGGAACCAGTCTGCATTGCACCGGCAAGCCACCACGGCGCAAAGCCAGGGATAGACTGGCTTAAACCTCCGCTTTCAAGGTTTCACTGCATCCCTGCCTGTAAGCAGCTATTCCCAGGTGCTCTTGCGTTTCCCACCGAAATGGCCAGAGTTTACAAGTTTATTTTGAAACCAAGCCTAACCCTCGGAAAACACAGAGCAACCCCCACCAGTCTGCCCGGGTTTGCTGCCCAGTGCCCATGCCCAGGGAGCAGCCATGCTCCCTGCCCACCCGACGTGCTGGTAGCCCTCGCTAGCTCACAGCATGGCCCATGACAGCAACTATCACCCTGCTATACATAAGAGCGGCACAGTGATTTGCCTGCTCCTTCCCTTGTACATAACAAATCCCCCCAGTGCTGCAGTCCTGGGGGAGAGGCAGAAACATTGTGATTTAGAAGCTGAGACTCCCACAGCAGTGCCCACCAAGCAACCCCCGTTACCTGCATTCCCTGATCCCCCAACATGGCACTCACTCCACATTTTATGAGCTTCCTTATGCCATCCACTGTAACATGCCCTAACAGAGACAGTACTAATGTGAGCAAGACCAGCAGCATACGAGGGACCCAGCTGCAGGACAGAGAGGAGGGTTCGCATGGCAGCAGTGCAGTGCTCGTACAGTGATGAACTACAAATCACTTGGTTTTATATGGGAAGCTCTTTAGCACAAGGATGGAGAGCTGTATTTGCATCACCATGCCATCCCTGGACCACGCAGGAAACTCTCCCTGGACCATGCAGCTACCCAGCACCTAAAGACACTGCTATAAAAGGCTCAACTTCAGCTCAGCATCCCCAAACATGCCGTACTCTTCTCTGACAAGCAGGGATCAGCAGTGGCAGGGGAGGAGGAGGAGGTGCAAAGGCTGCTATGGGGAGCCCAGCCCTGGCTCCCGGCTCCCTGAGGGGCTGCCAGCCGGAGCTGCGATTGATGCTGCAGTGGTGCGGCCCTTCTCTCAGCAGGCAGCTGCCTCACGCCCAGCCGGCGTGCGGAAACCTCTTTGTCGTGGCAGCTAATGAGCAGATTGTATTTCACAGCGCCGCGGCCCCGCGCAGGTACAGCCAGCGGCTTTCATCTCCCTGATAGCTCCCACGGGAAAAGAGTGGCCACTGCCCTGCGGAGCAGGTCACAGTCCGGTCTTGCTGGGCTTTTTGGTGTTTGCAGCTTTTAAACCCTCCATCGGTCTGCACCTGCCTGTGGCTCTTTTATAGCACGGGAGTGGAGGGAAAGGGCTTGGGGAAGCACCCACCGGAGTTTGTGCAGGAACACAGTGGTGGGATGTGGGATCAATGCTGAAGCACATGGGAGAGCGAGGAAACGGCCATGAGGCAGGGTGGCATCTAACTTCTGGGAGACTTCTCTTTAAAACAACAGCAAAATCCATTTTAAAGACCTCTATTGCATTTAACAGCCCCGGGTTTATTCCTCTAACTCCTCCCCGGCTTTAATCCCGCTCCTAACTGCACGCCTGCTCCAGCCGCTCCGAGGCCACTGCCCCTGCTGTGCCAGCAGAGCTGGCCACGGGCCACCCGCTGCCCCCACGCGCCTGGCGGGCAGGAGCTGGCCTGCCCCAGTCCAGCCAGGAGAAATCCAGGGGGGCCCTGAGGCCCTGGGGAGGGGGGAGATGTGGCTTGGCCAGGGGAATTGGCTCTTCAGAAGAAATCCATCAAGTGCTTGCCCCAGGCTCAGATTTATCTCAAACAAAGTTCAAAGCCCCCCAGGCTCCCCCCAGCCCAGGCCCCCAGAGCTGGCAGGTACGCTTGCCAGAGGGGTACATGCGGGAGCAGCCCAGGGTGCTCCAGGAGATACCTGCACAGGCAGGGGACCGTGATCTCCCACTCAGCAGTTCGCTCTCCAGAGCCACCCACCAGGCCATGCTGGGGGGGTTAGCACAGACCTCGTGTCACTGACACCTCCCGCATCCTCCCCCGACACTCAGGGATGCTGTCGTGGGGATGCTGTTTTCATCGGCTGAGTAGGTAGAGCCGACCGAGACGCAGCTCCGTCAGCCTCTGCCCCCCTGCAGCCGCCCCCGAGATCCCGGCGCAGCATCAGAGGCAGATTTGCAGCCGCAGGGTTGTGCACCTCTCTGACACGGATCCCCAGCCTGCCGGCAGTGTCTGCTCAGTCATGGACCCATAAATCCTTTCCAGGGGAGATGCAGAGCGCCCAGCCACTCTGCCAGGCTCTCTGCTTACAAGGCAGCGTATATACTACCCCCCCCCCCCCCGCCCCCGGAAAAGGAAACCTGCTACTTTTAACAGGGTTTTTCATATGGTGTCTTTATCAGCACCATGTGTGCTGGGAGTTTCCCCCAGCCCAGGCATTTTTGAAGAGCGAGGGATGTTGCGGGGCACTGGTGAGGACCACTGCTCCCTGTGAAGCCAGGAATGCCCTTCAAATGCCCTTCACCTTGGTTTCTAGAGATCTGAAGTTGGGTGCTGAGGCTCCAGCCCAGCTTCCCCCGGGCCAGCTCACCACTACTGATCCAGCTGCCCGCCCCATGCCATGTGTGGTGGTCCTGCCACATCCCGCCCTCCCTCCAACTCTGCAGTCCGCACTGGCACCCCTCAGTGGCACCAGCCTCCCTCCTGTGCTACTGACCCTGGGCACTAGATGAAGTTTCAGCTACAGAGGTATTACTCTCCCATCTGCCTCCAACACGTTGCATTTGACGTGAACTAATGTCTCCTATTAACACTGCAAGAAACAGATCTGGAAAAATTCATTTTCAAGCAGAGTTCAAACAGGCCACAAGGAGACAGTCTCCCCAAAATGAGTGGGGAGCAGCCAGCACCAGCGCAACACCCGCAGGCAGACCTACCGGCAAGGGGTTGAAGTTCTGGTCCACGAGGTGGTTGTGGCCATGGTCAAGGAAGGAGTGCCGCACCACGACGTCGATGCCCTGGCTGGCCAGCAAGCCCAGCGTGTTCAGCCACCTGGGGACGGAGGGAGCAGAGTCAGGCCGCCGCAGGGGAACCACCCAGCCCCAGTGGCACAGCCATGCTCTGGCACACGGCGTCGCTTTCAAGCACCCGACCTGGTGCCTGCTCCCAGCACCTGAGCTGAAGCCTTCAGATGGTTTTGTGAGCTGGCTATCAACCAGCTCCCACCATCCCTGCCCCAGCAAGCCTGCATGCCTCTCCACCCACCACAGCCACCTCTGCCGCAGCTGTGCCAGACCTGAGCCCCTGCGTGCACGCCAGCATCACAGCCCTGTGCCCAAAGCGTGGGGTGCTCCCCCAGCCTGCCAGCACTCTGCACCCGCCACCTCAGCAGGGGGACCGGACCTTTGCACCAGCCTGTCTCCTCACACCCCCCCAGGCAAAGTCTTCAACCCTCACAGCCTGCCACAGCCCTGATACCCTGGGCATGTCCCCATGCCTCCCCGCAAAGCCTGAATAATCTTCCTCCAACTTCTGTGATCACAGCCAGCTCTGAAGATCTGAACTGGGGCTTTGCAGCAGGATGCCTGTGCCACGGGGCTGTACCAATAGACAAGCCCCAGGAGCTAAGAATGGTTGTAGCTTCAAAGAAGGAGAGAAAACAGTTTCCAGAGCAGAGCCCTGCCGAGTGCTTCCCTGGGCAGGTGCCCTGGGAGTGAATGCATGCAAGGACGTGTGGATGCCGCCTGAACCAAAAACGCAGAGCGGGAGGAGGCCTGGGCAATCCCGAGCTGCTGAGCGATGCAGCCTGTCAGGATGCCAGCCCTGGGGTCCCAGAGCTGGCATGCTCAGATCACACCTCCCTTCCAAACCCATGCCCTCTGGGCACACTGTGGGTACCAGTGTGGGATCCCATGCAGTCCCCTCCTTACTCTGCTACCCTGTGTATGCCAGAGGCTGGGTCACCTACAGGAAAGCAGAGCTGAGGAGGGGTGATAGGGATGCTACAGAGAAAATAATGGTGCCCAGGCTGCTGGGGAGTACCGAAGGGGGTACAGGTGGGGTCTCTGGGCACAGAGCTGGCCCTCTCCTGGCTGCAGCGGCTTTGCAGCACCCAAGCTGCACCCACAGAGCCCGTGGGGGTGGCAGTGCCCTGGCACCGGCAAGCCGGCGTAACTCACAGGAACCCGGCCGCATAGGAATCGGAGAGGTTGTTCATGCCTCCGGACGAGGTTGTGCCAACGCCTTCCAGCCAGATCTTCTTCCCTGGAGTGTATGTGTTCACTACCTGTGCAGGAGACAAAAGCAATCAAAATGACTCTCATGAACCTGTGATTTAAAGCCAAGGCAGACATCTCCTGTGCTATGCCCTCGGAAGGCTTACAGAGACCTTCGGTAATAGTACTGCTGGGCAGTCAGTGCCTGCCTGGCCCTGGCATGGTCACTAGGTGTCTTCACCATGGCTGGGTGGTGGGAGACTGTTCCTCACTCTCTCCTGCCACTGCCACACGTCCACTACCCGTCTTCCAGAGCCGCTCCAAACATGCCCTCCCAAACATGCTCTCATGCTCCCAAACCCGGACCCCGCTCTTTCCCTGTGGTCTCCCCATGCACTCCATCCCGCAGGCTGCCCTGCTACATCACCTCAGCTCTCCATGTCCCCAAGCAAGGTGGCTGCTAGCCACAGGGAGCACCTGAGCCCCAATGGCTCTGTGGTGTGGGAGCAAAGGGACATGTACTGGAGCCACATGGAGGAACGGTGGGCAGCTGAGAAGAAAGCAGTGGATGCCCCTGGGCATAGGTAGAGCCAGCCCCATGGCTGAGCAGGGGCTGCTTTGCAGCCTGAGGGGTCCCTGGCACAGGCGGGACATGCAGGTCCGAGCACACTGGCCCACCCCTTACAAGGCTCTAGCCAGCAGCGCAGACACTCGTGAGATGCCAGGCGGGATAGGAGGGCTTGGATGGCTGGAGCTGCCCTCTCCCAGCATGAGCAACCTCCAGCACCGCGCAACGCCCCATCCTCTCTCCCGCAATCCCACTTCTCCAGGCAGGGTGACAGGCTCCCGTGACCAGATGTCTGCAAACCCAGTGGCCCAAGGAATGCTCCGCGCAGCCTGACGGATCCTGCCCCATTAGTGAGGAGAGCTGGAATGTGCTGGATGGACTGGGATCCCTCAAAGATGTTAAATACGCCAGCTCTGGGCTGCCTCCCACTCACAGCCTGTGAGAGTCGACATCCCTGACTGAAGCCCCAGAGGTGTTGGCATCCTGCCTGTAATTATCTAAGCCCGCCACCTTCCCCTGTCGGAGAGGAAGCAATAAAACAGGGAAGTGGACAAGCCCAGCTGCTCTAATCAGCCCCGGCAGGATGCACAGACTCAAAGCCAAGCTGGAGGCTATTAGCACCCAGCGCTGTGCTTTTGCTCAGCCACACTGGCATTCCCGGGAGAGCCCTTCCCCAGCCCTGCCCTGCGCAGACCAAATCCTGCCCTGTGGGTGCGAGGGTTCCCCCAACCCGCACCGAGGGCAGCTCCTTGCTGCCTCTAGTCTGGGGATGGATGGGGTTCTGCTCCCTTCCCAGTGGATTCTCGACCCACAGCAGAAGTGGGACACGTGCCACCACTTTTGGTGGGGTATTGTACCCCCAGTACAATAGAGACAAGATTGTCCCTGCGCTGATCCCGCTGGCTGCCCCGCCATGACTGCCTGCAGCAGGAGGATCATCCGCGTGCGCGGATGATTCCCAGCTTGTGCCAGAGGACTCAGTGAGCGGCTCCTCTCCTCCAGTTTTGCTCTGCCGACCCTCACATCCCCTTTCTCGGGGCCTCTTTTGAGTTGTTTACTCATCCTATGGTTTCTCCCTGCAGGAATTACAACAGTAAGACATTGTGGTGACTGGTATGGTGTGAAAACCTAGACAAGATGGACAGACAGACATCTACTCTAGTCCCTTAAGCCTTCCCCACTTACTAGGTGTTCCTTATTTCTTCTGGAACTGACAGCTGAGTGGGCCGGTCACAGCCCTGGCCCCTGTATCAGCCAAAGCAGGGGGACATTGCGAAGCCCCTGTCCCCTACCCAGCTGCTAGAGTTGCAAGCCAGGTCACCCCAACCACTGGGGAGAGAAGTGCTTGCTGCAGGCTGCAGTAGCTAGGCAGAGCCAATGGGCTCTGACAGAGCATGCCAGCAACAGCTGGGTTGTATAACACAGTCAAAACATGATCATCAGGGAAAAAAACCCGTTGTTCATAATGATCATGATTCTTCACTAGTGAAAATCACCCCAGAAATGCAACTGTCACAACTTTGCAAGCAACGTTTTCAGGCGCTGTGAGCAAGCGGGGTAAGATGTTGCAGTAGGAGTCCCTTCCTGAGCAGGCACGGCACTGGCTGTGTTTGGGACAGCGTGGTACTGCCTGGCTGCTCCCTTCTCTCCTTGTTCTTGGTAGCCAATTTCAGAGAATACCCATCTTACATGCTGCTCCCTTCAGGAATGGACAGATGGGAGACTCAAGCCAGTCGGCTGCTTTAGAAAGGCTTTGCACAGCAGTGTCTGCCCCTGCCCCGTGCATCCAGCCTGCATCCCAGAACACTGGTGCAGCCCACGCCACACTGCAGCCTGCGGCCGCTTCCCTCCCAATGCGCTGCACATCCCATCCCGGAGCCAGGCATCATGCTGCCTGGTCTTTCCTCCCATCCCCTGTGTGAAGGCTGGCTGCATTTAGGCTGGGAGCACAGCCACCCCCAGCAGACACCTGCCATCCCTGCCCCACACCAGCTCCCTGGCAGCACGTCGGTGCTGAGGCCAGAGCCCCAGCCACCAGCTGTGCCAAGGTCGGGCACCATGGCCACAGTGCCCCCTCGTCCCTTGCAGACCCTTTGCACTCACGCACTTTCTGGATTTTCCTGATCTGGTCAGAGAGCGTGTCTAACAGGCGCGTTTTCAGGAAGTCCGTCACTTTGGCCACTCGGCCATCAATGTAGTAACTGGAAGGAAAATAAGAAGACAAGGATCAGACAGCTGGGAGCAGCTCTGCCCCAAACCATGTCCTCCCGTCCTGCTGCTGCCCCATGCCAAGAAGCCTCCTCTGCTCCTGGGGGGGTCCCTGCTTGCACCCTGCTCTGCCCTGGCCCTCTGGCCGTGCCCGTGTCTGGCAGGTGCTTTCAGTCTCCAAAACAGGGTGTGAGGTGGACGCCCCCTGAACGCAGAGCATGCTGCACTGCACAAACCATGGGAAGTTTTGCACTTTCTTTACTGCTGGTGAAACACTGGGAGCAGAACGCCAAAGGCTGGGAGCAAAATGCCACCCACAAAGGCTTTGCAGCACCTTCTGCACTGTTCTCACGGAGACTCCACGGAAAGAGACCCTCCAACACGATGCCTGTGATAGCAGCGCCTGGGGTCCACGACCAGGGAGATCTTCTGCTCACCTGGCTCACCCATCTGTACCCGTCCCCCATCTTACAGACACACTGTTTTCAAAATGCAGATAAGCCAGTCAGTCCGGGGCCCAGCATCATTGCTATGGGAAAGACTGCTTTTATGGGATGGCAAAACAGAAGATGCAAATCTGAAGGCTGAAACAAAGGGCTCCTTAGCCCCAGGAGGACACTACACAGACACCAGGGAGGAGAAGGGTCCTGAGCAGCAAATACCCTCTGAGACACACTGGAAATTGCTGCAGTAAACCCTCAGGAGGGGATGGGGGATGCTGCCTGTGCTCACAGCCATGGGAATAACTGCATCACTCTGCCTGCTTTATGGGACACTCTCCATTCAATAGCTGGTCTGCAGGGGCAACTGTACAGAGCCTCTTCTGGTCTGAGAATCACAATTGCTCATGGATGTCCTGCTGCAATAACAACGCTTCAGGCTAAGCCCTGATGGTGTTTCTGAGCAAGGATTAGCGACTGTGGGGTACACGGGCTGAGGACCTATGGCACCAGAGTGAGCCCTGCTCCCAGCACCCCTGCACCTTCCTTGCTCGCTCTTCCAGCAAAATCCACAGCTGTACCTCCCACACAAGAAATGCCGTGGCCATTACCTGCAGGGGAAATCCTGCTCTCACAGAAATCCATTCTGCCCTGGGAATGCCAGGGAGCGTTTCCCATACAGAGGGCTGATTCCTGCTCTCCATGTGCTTGCTTATATAAAACACAGCTATAGTGCTGCCAATCATGATGTGAATCATCTGTCTCTGAGTGTGAGAGGAAGGCTCTGAAATGCCACAATACCATCTCCTGGCTCCAGGACATAAGGTGAAGTAGTCTGTCCTGGAGTGCAAATACCCTGTGGCTGGAGGTAATCCCAACTGGCTCCTCCTGAGGAAGTGTCTGGGGCTGGCACCTCTGCCCCCATGCAAGGAGCAGTGGCAGCCCTTGCACATCTCCCAGAGGCTCCTCCCAGCCTTGCATGGACACCAGGACGTCTGCTGCAGCATGCACTGGCCTACCCCTGGGACAGCCATTTAGCTGATAAATAGGTTTTGCAAGAGAATTACAGCATCTCTGGTGGAGGCTGGCAGGGCTCAGCCATTGCATCCCATCCCTCACTGGAGCCACGTCCACTCGGCATTCACCAGAGTTACACAGACCCTTCTCCCTCTCCACAGACTTCAGTGCAGCCATGGGTGCTGGGATGCATAACGGGCTGAAGACCTGGGGTCTGAAGAAAGGCGGAGTCACCTTTCCAGGGCTTTCTCCGTAACATGCATCTCATCCGCACCAGTGAGCAGCTGTAGCAGCCATAGTGGCTGCTTCACTTGGGTGCTGGAATGCAGGAGCATCCCCAAAGGATGACGTGGACTAACTCATCCTCAGCTAGAGCACCCGGCACACGTGCAACATGCACGAGTGCTCAGAGAGGATTTTTGTGTCTCACTGCTCCAAGTCACTACCCAGGTAACAGAGTAAATGCACTTGGAGCTGTGCAGGGCTTGGAGCTGTGCAGGGCTGTGGTGAAGGGGGAACAACACCAGCACTAACTGTCCCAGAACAGAAATGCATTACAGGCTCAACTTGCAAATGTATTAAACAAGAACCTCCTCCGTCAACCCTCCCCCAGCCATGCAGTCCCAGCTGTGTCCCCAGCAAAGCACAAGATCATGCCAGTCACACCCCAATTTCACTCCAATGTTGTGTAACCCAGGGAAGGAGGCAAGAGGCATTTCTGTATGTCCGTGGCAAATGGAAGGTGCTAAGGGCAGAGATTATCTCCGGGGGGGACTTAGGAAGTGTTCAAAATCGTTCTGATCAGTTATACACTATCGAACCACTGGCTGCTGGGAGGAGAGCAGATCTGTAAGCAGCAGGCAGTGGTGGGGTTTACAGAGATTACTTTTTAAGACAGAATTACAAAGCAATGGACTCTGGGGATGGCAGATGTTTGGATTTTAGCACAGCACTTAAGAACTAAACAGAAATGATTTTTTCAGACTGCTGTGGACTAAAAACCCCATCACCTGGACCGAAAACTGGCTGAAAGGCCATAAAAAGAAGGTTGCACTGACTGGGAAAAGATGGAGTTAGAGAGAACTCAGCCTGCGTATGGCCCCTCCAACACAGCAGGCTTTCTGCAGGGTTCAGCTTGTCTGTGCAAGCCAATATGGTCCCAGAGCCCAGAATAAACCCTTTGGAGAGCAAAGGCAGGCTTGCACCTCCTCATCATCTCCTTCAAGCACAAGGTGTGCTCTGACTTACAGCTCCGCTGCCAAGGGAGAGGAACATCTCTCCAGGAGCAGCCCCAGAGGAGGCTGTGCCCTCCCAGGGACAGCGCGGAGGGGGCAGCCTGGGAAGGTGCTGCTGTGCTGAGCACAGCCGAGACCCTGCAGGGAAGAGAAATGCCCCGGGACAATGCCACAGTCACATTTTTTTGACACCTGCATTAACAACCCAGAGAAATGGGGACTGGTAGAGGAATGAAAGGAAAAAACCACCTGCTTCAGTATCAGGAAATCTTGTTGGTAGCATGTCTCCTGGGGGAGCGAGGAGGGGAGCACCTCAGCTTTGGGTGTTTAAGCAGAGCATGAAGACAATTACAAGCTTCTGTAAGGTAGGCAAGGATCTCTTGCAAATCTGCCTGGAAAGTTATTGGACTCCAACAGGTACTTTCAACCTTCCCAGACTGCGAAAGAGGGAAAATGGCACCAGTTGCATAAGGCTTGTGAGGAAGAGAGAGGCACTGAGGTCTTCGCTGGTGCCAGGCTACTCAGGAATGGGTGAGCTGTTTCCAGCTATAGGCTTTGTCATTGAGATGAGGGCACTTCTTTCTGAGAACTTTAACTGTCAGTAGAGGCAGTATAGAAATCTGCAAAATGCAAACAACTGACAGGCCTTTAAAGCAGGAGAAGCGCTCGTTAGGCGTGGATTATTCCCAGGAGCAAAGGCTGCAGCTTTGCTGATATTTACAATGACTCAGTGCACTTGACTTTAAAAAAAAAACCAAAAAACCTGAACAGTCGCAACTCTCCAACCTCCAAAAAAGCCAGCAGCAGCTGCAGAGAGCTCCAGCACTGACAAGTACCTCCCTAGGCAGCAGCACGGTGCACAGGCAGCCAGACCGAGCCAGCCCCGGGGGCCGCAGCATCCACGTCCTCCTCTCCTGGTGCCGGCGAGGTCTCCTGCCAAAGGAGACAAACGGGCAGACCCTTCCCAGCATGGGCAGGGGTCTCTGGCAGCTACAGCTCTGCAGAGGCAGAGGACATGTAGGTCATGGACAAGCTATTTGTCTCCAGCACAGGCTGGCAGATCTTCCAGTGGGCTCTGGGTATGATGCAGCACCAGAGTTGGCCTCAAAGCCTAGGAGATATCAGCCTGCCCGCCGTGGGCACAGATCATGCCATTTCTCATAATACAGGAGAGAATAGATGAGGGCAATTACATGCAGAGCTGATTCGTGTTCCCCAGTTTGATGCCACTATCTCTGTAGACAGACAATCTGCAGGAACATGAGAGGAGCCAGCCAAGGAAAAGAGGGCTCTAGCAACTAAATCCTAGATGAGTCATGCATCTCAAGAGGAGAGGCCACGTACAGCCAGTTTGGGTGCCCTATTATACTACACAAAGCTAAGGCCAGTTCTCTCCCTTCTGTTTGCATTACCCCATTTCTAAAAACCCCATTTGAATATGCCCTAGAAACCCAGGATAGGATCAGTGCACTTTGCAAAGGGAGATGTGACTGTATGACTCTGGAGGTGGCCAAACCAGAGCACGGCACAGGGGGAGGACTTGGCCAAGGGCTGGGCAGGGATTTGTGCCAGTGCTAGGAAATGCACCACCCCAATTCCTGGCCCCCATCCCTGGCTGGAACTGTAGCATCAGACTTGAGACACAAAGACATGAGCTGGGAACAGTATTGAGGCAGGGCTGAGCACAGCTGCCAGTCAGAAATGCCCTTGTTCTTGGGCAGGCTGCAAGGCCAGGATGCACAGAGCTCCCCAGTGCCTCCCAGAGAAGGACAGTGCCAGGCACCAGGACATTTATGTGAACCTGGGGCTGGCTACATGTCTCTATCCTGTCACCTCCAGGTCTTGTGCTGCCTTTAAAACGGTTTTCTGGAAAGATCCACAATTCGCTGTGTGGGACCATGAGCATCATCCCATGTTTAATGAAGGCAGTGCACTGGCTCCTGGGCAGCTGGTTTCATTTACCTCCTCTTTCATTTTAAAGAGAAACCTTTGCCCCTATTATCTGACCTCTTCTTCTGTTGCAGTTAATTACATTAAAGTCGACTTCCCAAAGCTCAGGAATTTCCGGATCTACTTTGTTGCCTGCTGCTATGGGGAGAGTCTGCTAGGAATTAGGGCACCCGCCTACCAGGACTGTCGAGCGGGGCAGATCCCCACCATCAGTGTGACACCCCACCGCCACTACAGCTGTGAAACTGAGACACCTCTGCAGATGGAGGCGTCCCTGATCCCTGAGCATCTTCCCGAGGAGTGGGCAGAGCCCGTCTGCAGCACAGGACACAGGGCAGCCCCACTGCTCCCCCCGGAGAGGAGAGGCGGGATGCGACCTGCTCCCCCCAGGTAATGACCAGTGGGCACAGGGGAGAGGTGCTGCCCACCTCCTGTCAACTAATAATTGATAAAGAAGAATGACTGGGGGCTGCTCTCTGGCCCTAAAGGCACAACTCACACCATGCCTTTCTCTGCCCCCAGACAAGGTGCCTCTGTCAGTTCCGCCGGCGGGAGCCATCTCTTGCCTATGCCATCTCCCCAGCCATGCCCTGGCATCGCCTGGGACCATGCTGGTGGCCAGGGCCACGATGCTGCCAGGGACTGTGCCCTCCCTCAGACAGTGCAGAGGACGGCAAGCCAGTGGGCAAAGCCGTGCCCTCACCAGGTTTATTTACCAGTGGAGATGGGCCAGTGATTCCTTCATGCAACCCCTTCCTCCAGGCATGACCTCCGAAGACACTGTGCTCTGAACACTCGCAGCAGGCTCATGCGAGCCCAAATACATACCCTTGGTATATACTTTGGTGTGTGCGTGCACACTGGGCAACTTTCCCCCGGCACCTTTGGGAAATCTGCCCCCTGCTACTGCCTCATGAGCATCTCCACCTGCACACTCAACATGTCTAAGCTGGAAGAGATGTCACCCAAACCAAGCCCAGCAAAAGCATTTTAAGCAGCACCTCACACATGCCCGTGTGCCTGGCATCTCTGATTTGCTACATAGGGCAAGTGACTTTCCATCTTGAAAGATAACATGGCATTCTCCAAGGAGCCACAGGGATAGATGTCCAGTGGCTTTAAAGATGCAAACATTTACTTTCCCTGTAAGTAATAGGGGTTTGTGCTTCAGAGGCAGCATTGTATAAGGATTTGCCCATTAAATATGCCAAACTTGGAGCTGTACACAAGACTTTGGATGGAAAACCAGCTGTACAGACAGAGAGCACGCCCAGGGATGGAACTGGGCACAGCTGCAGGTTTAAGTGGGCGATGAATCTTCACCATGTGTGAGGATGCCAGCATGGAGCAAAGAGATGGCTGTGGGGAGGCTCCTGAGCAGTGGAAGCCCTCATCCAAAGGCTGAGGGGGTCTGCAGTAAACTGAGCATTTACTCACAACCAAACATAACAAACTAAATTACCAGGGAAAAGCCAAAACTCTCAGAGCCACTGTCAGTCCCACCTGCCACACCCTCCTTTAGTGGAAATTCCCTGAGTGTTTTGAAGCCATTCACACATCCCTCTCCAGCAACACATTACTTCTGAAGAGGGAGGCACTCATGCTGAGTTACATATGTAAGTGAAACCATACTCAGAAAGGCTGGCGAGCTGCTTATTTCCAACCAGTGTCACTTTTCTGTCAGATATATTTCAGATATATTCTGCTTTCACACAGAGAAAAGGGATCCCTGCAATGTATTCCCTTCTCAATTCCCTTTCTGGATCAAGCACAGTCTTTTCAAAAGAATAACAGATTTGACAAATTTATAACCAATATCCCGGGAGAACGTTAGGGTTTGGAACAGAAATATTCATACTTGAAGTTAGACAGCAGTTTAGTTTCCTGCTAGCAATTTTCGTCTTGGATACAAAGGAACTTGTTTTGTTTTGTTTTGCTGTTTGGAGCAGAGGGATGAGACACTGTTTTGACATTTATTCATAAACAGTACAGAAGCCCAGCTCAGAGCTGTGGCCATTGCCAGTCCTCGCAAATGCATGTGGGTGCAATCTCCAGAGCTGCAAACCCGGGCTGGGGGAGAAGCAGCTCCTACACTGCAGTGGAAATGGGTCAGCAAGCAGCATCTCAGCTCCGCTGACCCTGGCGGGGAGCTCCACCAGCCCTCCTGCCGCAGGTTGCTGCTTCAGCACGGCTGCTCAGCACCAGAGCTGCCAAGCACTTTGCACTGATCCTATAGGAAAAGGTTTCAAAGCAGCCGTGTGGGCAGATTCCCTGCACACCAGGATGAAACTCTACATCTGAAGCCTGGAAGTTTGTTCCTTCAACTCATCCAAGGGCTTGGCCCAGTCATCAAGCCCCATTGCAGAAAGCAAATTCCTGGACTAAGTAAATGTGATCAGCACATCGTGTAATCATAAAAAGCGAACTCCCAGCTGAGACATAGATCATCATTGCACAGCATGAGCCTGTAACACAAATCCCACTCCAAATGCTCTGCTACCCCACTGCCCCCATCGCAGCAAGCTGCTGCTGCCTGGCAGGGAAGCCCCAGGACCGAAACACCCAAGCAAGTAATACTGTGGCACAGCGAGGCAAGCTAAGCTCCCTGAGGAACGGGACTTTGCTGGATGCTGGTCATGCCTGGTGCTATAAACCACCCCAAGATGCCAACAGTTGCTTCTGCAGGAGACTTCAAGGTTAACACACCAACACAGAGACTGTGTGAGAGAGTGTGGGTACACTTGCAAGAAAACCTCATGTCTTAAAACCCAGTGAACTCTTTTTAAGAGCAGGTCTCAATATGGGCTTTACAAACCACACTGCTACACTTCAGCAAAGCAACCTGAGCACCCCATGAAGGGTCGCTGTGAAGGACCAACTTGGGGAACAAGCCCCGTGAGCAGCACACACAAGCCCACCTTGGACCTGAGCCCCTGGCTCCCGTGCTCAAGGCCAGTGCCCCACATGGGAAGTTTAACCCAGGGTCAGAACTAATCCACTTTTTCTGGGAACAGGGGAGTATCACCATGTTTTTTGCTCCAGTGTATGCCTGTCTCTGAAATGTGTCCTTTCTGTGGCAGGAGAGAGTCCTGCCTGCCCCACAACCCCTTTTTCTATCAATTTTGGTGGTTGCCGCTGTGCTTGCAGACTGCCTCTCCTTTCCACTGGTATTTGCACTCCCACTACAGAGAGCCACAGCCTGCTCTGGACCCTACCTCTGGTCACAGTGTGCAAACTGGGGCAGTTGGAAATAGGAGGAGGAAAAAGGTGTTTATGGATTTTCCCCCAGAAAAGAAAACCTTTCACTCCACTTGGTGCTTGTCACACTCAGTGCTACAGCTCAGAGCTTGCTTTGTTCTTCTGAACTGCAGCACTTGCAGGAACCACAAAGAAAATCAGGTATTAGCATCTCTGTGGCAGCCCCAGCTGGGCTTGGATCTTGGATGTTCACCCCCTTTCCATTGACATGTGCTCCTAGAGCTCCAACTGCAGTGTAGGGCAGCAGCATGTCTATGGACATCTGAGACCCTTACAAAATAGAGTGGGGACCGGGACATTATGCATTTACCATTGGACTAAGCTGCCTCTCCCTCCTCTGGGCCAAACCAGTTTAGCTTCAGGCCAGAGATTGTGGAGAGACAGTGACTGGGGTGAAAGGAAAAGGGCTTTCAGATAGTCCCATACATCTGTCACACGTGGCTTTTTCTTCCTTGTCATCCCCACCCTGGCCACCACTGGAGCTACCTGTCCTCCCAGCTGCCTCCAGGGACTCAGCGGTCCAGCACAGGGCTTTGTTTCCAGCAATCAGGCAGGCCAGGCATGCAGGCAGTGGTATTTTTAGCCTCTGCCTCAGCTGCAGTGGTAAAGGTTAATCCATCCCCTCCTGTATTTGTTCGAGAGGCTCCAGAAGGAGGGGCAGAGGCTCCTTCACCTATTTAAACACAGCAGGAGGACAGAGGAGGTGGCTGTCACAAGTCTGCCCCCTTTCACACCCAGAAAGCACATCAGCTCTGCTCCCAGCGTCGTCTGATCACTGCAATTAGTGTTGGAAAGTAGAAGGAATGGTGAATACCTACTGTTGCCAGGTAACAGCATCCACCGTGCTGCCAGCCACTTTCATGAACCTATAGGAAACAGAGGAAGAAACCATATAATCCCAATGTTGTCACAGGGGAAATCCTAAAACAACCGATGCCCATCCTACCTCACGGGATACCAAAGGCGGTCACGACACTCACAGACCCTTTCTAATGAAACCTTTGCATCCTCAAATGGAAGGAATAAATTATACATAATACAAATGCTTGTAGCAAGCACAGCTGAGAATAACGGAGTGAAACCCAACTGGCAGCAGAGCTCTGAGCATCATTTTGGGACAGGTAGGGAGAGCTTTCAGAGCACAACAGCATTTCAGGAACAAGATCATGGGGTGTGTACTTAGTTCTATGACTGCAACAACTCTCAATAGCAATTAAAGAAAAAATTTTAAATGCCCATCTTAGAAGGACACACTTCTTCACCCCACATGTATTTAAGCTGAGGCACTCCTTGCCTGGATTCAAGCAAGGACTGCAAAAATGGAAGAAAATGGAAATAAAAACCAGCAAAGCTATTAGATGCAAAGATGCCACCTCCAGCTCAGGAAGCCCCTGAACATTGGAGTATGGGAGGAAAGGCTGGACAAATACTGCTATTTGCTTCCCTTTTTTTGATGCTCTTTCTTTGGCATTGGCTGTTAGCAAACTGATGGGATTCTGACCTGGGTGCACTTTTGGTTTGTCTGATTCCTATGACTAACGACAGCACTTCCATGCACAAGGTTACAGTGAGTTAAATATATGTATTAGTCTCCTGATGGCTTGTGACCCAACTATCTTAAAGAAAATACAGTTCTTCCAGACAGCTCCTCTTTGAGTCAGACTTGAGGCTACACAGGTGTATCTGCTTACACTGCTGATGCCAAAACCAAAGCAATTCCTCATCTTGGGGACCATATGCAACCACCACAGCAGCAGCCTCTAGCACAGGCTTGCTGCCATCCAAGAGGTTCCCTCCCTGGCTCCCTGATCCAGCAATCCAAACTGCACCTTGGGAAACTGCGGCTCCCATAAGGAAGCCCAAGCAGTTACTATAATCTTATGCTTAGGGCCACAGATATGAAAACACATAAAGGCACACACAAACCAGACAGGCACGCTTTTCTGTTCAGTAGCGTAACGTGCACTGTGTAGCTGATGCATTTGGGAAGTGATAATGTCTGTACATGACAGGTGACATTGGCTTGAGCAAGTGAATGCGATGAGAAAGAAACCAATGCTATATTGTCTCGGGCTGCTCCTGATGCACAGGGATCCCGGGAACACAACAGGAGTCACACAGCTCTCCTGACTCCACCGGGACACAGGGATGAGTGGCACCAAGTCCTGCGACCCTGACTCCCCCAAGACAGCCCCATGACTGAGGGTGGGGAAGGAAAGGGAAGGTTTGTGAGGAGAGAGGAGACCTTTTATCAGACTAGTTGTCATGGCAGGGATGAGCAGCAAGCTTTCCAGCACACGAGCCTCTAATCAGGTCTGAAACAAGAGCAGCAAGCTTCAGGCTAAATATAGCTCGGAAACAATCATTCTGACTTTAAATTAATGACGATGGTCAATTATAGACTGGGACAAAAGGGCAGCTGGACCCTGTGAAGCATAAGAGGACACTGGCAAAGGCAGCAGTAATAAATCCCTGCAGACAGAGAGGGAAGAGATACAATTAGAAATGGAAAAACAATAACATGCTGTAAAACTCCGTAGCACTGATGCACCCCTGATTCTGCTGCCTAGCAGTGCTGTGAGCTTCAGTTCCCAGGCTCGCCTTTCAGAAATGCTTTTACATCTCTCTTGAGGGTCAGGCCCGGGAGACCAGTGCCAGGGCGATGGTTTGGGGACAGTCCCTCCCCAGCTGAGCAGGGAGAGGAGACCAGCTGGACCAGCCCCAGTGCAGTCAGAGGGAGAGGTGCGAGCTGCCCACAACTCACACCAGTCATCTGGCAAAAAGGGGATTTTGCAAATGTTGCTACAGAGAGGCTGCTGTTCTACAAAACTAAATGTGCAGAAATATGCCCAAAGGATCAAGAAACCCGACTCCCAGGTTTTAAATGCTCAGTACAGGGACTGCTGCCTAAGATGTAATGCATGAAGTGTATAAGAGTGTACTAATGAACTCTAAACTGAAATTATGAACACAATCTATATGGAGTTTGAAGATCAATATATTGCAACTGGGTTTGAAGATTAGCCCTACTTGCTTTTTAATCTCAAATGCTTTATGTTCGGGCCACAAAATAAGCCATCTTGAACGTTACTAAATCACCTCTTCAGGCTTAGCTTGGCACTCTCCACTCACAGTCCAAACCCATGAGCAGACAAAGCTCAGAGGATGAAGCTCTCCAGTTTTCCTTGCCAATTCCACAGTGCCTACAGCCCTGCTGCAAACACACCCACTACAGAGGTCTTCAAGCAGGGACTGAAAAGCAAAGCAAACCCTTGGTATAACCTCCAGCATCTCTGGAGCAGCAGAAGCAGGACATCCATCTGTCCCATCTCCCACAACTCTAGGAAGCCCAATGGCCTGTTGTTAAAAAACTCCTGAGAAAATTTTGTTCTAGGACACAGGCACACTCAGGCAGTGCAGTGCAGACCAAAAGCAGGACAGAAAAGGCCCTGGCTTGCTTAGTGTTCCTCTTCTGTCTCCATAAGAGTGAAATAAATGGGTTCGTTTTGGTCATTTTCAAATTTTACCATAGAAGATGCATATCTAGCTCAAATTTTGCTTTCCATGGCTGTTTTTCTTTCTTTTTTTATTTATTTTCCTTTTATTCAGATTTTTGCAGGATGAAGTTCAAAAGTTCCCGGTAAAACTTCAAGTCCTGCCTTAATGATGGAGTTGTGCCTGGAGCAACCCAGATGACCTGGGCAAGGGTTTCTACCCTCCAAAGGGAGCCTAGAGCAGCTCAACAGCCAACAAGAGGTAGTGCATGAGCAAGAGATGAAAGCCCAGGGCAGGTGGAGATGCAGTGATGCACAGGTATCTGAATATCTTTGGTTTAGGAATACAGATGTTACTAATCCTTTTATTCCTGTAGCACCTGTGCTGCTCAGACCACGGATTTTGAGGCCAGTGAAGATCCATACAGTCCAAATGACCAGCGCTGGCACATTTTTATCTGGGATTTCCTGGACTGCGTGATGTCCATGTGTGCAGCGTGGCGCAGGCAGAGCAAACCAGACGCTTCCGGGAGGGCTCAGATCCCTGCACATGTGCTGCACAGATGGGCTGGACCGGCGCAGTAAATCTGCCATTTTCCTACACATTGGGCTTTCTCTGTGAGCACCAATTGACTGCGCAGCGCATGTGTAGTAAATCGCCCCCAGGAGCAGTGGGACAAGCTCAGTTCACGCTGTGCAGGCAATGTGGGCGACTACTGTAGCGATGCCCCGTAATTCAGATGGGTGGCAGCCCCAGGACATGCCTGTGCAGTATCTCTGGCTGGACCTCCACATATCAGAAACCTGGGCAAATGTAAAAGTCCTCAAAATCTGCTGGGGCAGCATCTCTAGGGGAGAAAGCAGAACATGTCAGAGGTGCATGGAGGAACAGGAGCCTCAGGCAGGGAGTTTGTGATATGTGATGTGAGGATGAGACAAAGACACTGAGCTCGGATATGTCCATCCCCTTACCCTTGCAGCTGCCTGTGTGCCAGCATCCCGTGCCAGCATTACTACTTGTGAGGCCCTGCATTGAGCTAGAACTGAGGCTCAAGCTTGTTTTTAAATAAGCACTGAGAAAAATGTAATTTAACATTGCTCAGTCACCCAAACAGTTCACAGCTCTGTCCCAGAAATGGTAATACTGGCACAAGGTGGGACAGCACCTCACAGGTCAGGAATGAGCTGTGGGAGAGTGGGGCAGGGGGGCTGCAACACCACAAGATGGTATTGACACCAAAACTCTATATTGTGAAACCATGGCTCAAATCTGACCTCTCCCAGAGCATCTCCCATAGCCACATCTCCCAGGACAGCAACTTCCACTTGAGTGTGGGCACGTCTCTGAAGTAGATCTCCTGTCCTGATTCAATACTTGCCAGTCATGGAGCACCTAGTGCAACCTTAAGCAAATTGCTCCCATGGTTAATTAGCCTCCAAGTATTTATTTCTCATCTGAATGTGTCTTGCTCCAGCTTCCAGCCACTGGAACATCCTAGGCTTATTCCTGATACATTAAAGAGCCATCTGCATTTGGAAATCTCTTTCCCATGCAGGTAACTGCAGATTGTCATCCTTTAAATAATTTTTAAAAGTGACCCTGTAACAAAGAATGCAGCTGCACAAGGAGACAAGTTACCACTGCACAGGCTCCCAGGTGGTTTAGTATCATCGTCTGACTCCTGGGTGCTGGACTTCACAAACTGACCCCCCCAAGCCCCAAATGTAGGAACAACACTGGCCTGCCTGTGGTACCGTGGTGGATCCCTAGAGCTGGGTGGCAAATATCTGCCCTTTGAGGCAACAGTGATGGGTAGAAATAGCTTTACCTTGTGTCTGAATTGGTTGGTGAGGGGGACTCAGGCACAGGCTTCACTTACTAACTTCTTCAGGTTCCAGTAGCACAATCAAATACCTGCAGCAGCAGAGACAGGTACTAGACCCAACTCATGCCACCAGCTGCAAAGACTTTGACCTGCAGTGCCAGATTTCAGACATGGATTTCACTCTGGGGAGCAGAGTCTCGTGGGGACTACATATAATTCTGCTGCTATATTGTATTCTCTATCTGCTCAGCATCACTTTTCTTCAACCAACCTGATCCACTGTAGAACTGCACAAGCCTTCTAGCAAAGAGGTCTTTATGTCCCAGGCTGCCCCACCCAGCCTTGGTAATCTGCACTCCAGGGACTCCGGAGGTTGCATGTGGACCATGACGTTGCATTACCACTGATGCTTTTTCCCAACATTGATTTGTCCAGTCTCTTTCTGAACACACACCTCTGGCCTCCACAATACCCTGTGACAATGACTTCTACAATGCCATTGCATACCATGTGAAAAATCTTCCTCCTTCTTTCCAAAGCTTCCTT